ACGTAGCTACTGGGATATAAAATGGTACAAAAATATTGGGGTGAACAGTTTGGCAGTTTCGTAAAACACTAAACATGCAACTATCATGTGACCTATTTGGACTTCATCCCAGAGAAATAAAAACTTGTGTTCATACAAAAACCTACAAATGAATGTTTATAGCAGCTTATTCATAATAGCCCCAAACTACAAATATCTCAGATAATGGGTGAATGGCTAAACAGATTCCAATACATCCAAACCATGGAATGCTACTCAGCAAGAAAAAGGAACGAACTATTAATACATGCAAGAGCTTTGGTAACTCTCCAGATAATTATGGAGTGAAAAAGTCAATTCCAAAAGCTTACATGCTCTAAGACTCCATTTCTAGGGGCACCTGGGTGGCTCAGTGGGTTAAAGCCTCTGCCTTCAGCTCAGGTCATGATCTCAGGGTCCTGGGATTGAGCCCCACATCGGGCTCTCTGCTCAGTGGGAAGTCTGCTTCCCCACCTCTGCCTGCCTCTCTGCCTACTTGTGATCTTTGTCTGTCAGATAAAAAAAAAAATAAAACCTTTTAAAAAAAAGACTCCATTTTTATAATCTTGAAATGATAAAATTAAAGAAATGGAGAACAGATTAGTGTGTCTCAGGGGTTAAGGAAATGGTAAGGGGAGACTGGAAGGGGGCGTGGCTATAAAAGTAGTTTTCTGGTGACGGCATTATTCTGTGTCTTGGTATTACTAATATCAGTATTAGTTGTGTGATTTGTACAAGAGTTTTTATAATATGTTACCATTGCGGGCAGTGGATGAAGGGTACCCATGATCATTCTGTATTGTATCAGTCTGAAAATTGCCTGAAAAATACACTGGCCGTTTGGTCCAACCCTTTGATCTTATCGTAGTAAATCAGGCCAGAGAGATGAGTGCCTTCCTCAAAGTCAGAAAGCCAGTGACAGAATCAGAACCCAGAGTGAGACCCTAGAGTCCCATTCACATGCTTCCATCATGTTCTATTCCTCCCATGACTGACTGCTCCAGAGTCCCCGTGCTCTCACCGTGGCCTTCCTTCTCTTTATTCCTTGTATTTTGTCTTCAGTACTTCTGCGGATTTCTAAGAGCCTGTTTGAAGTTTAGATGAGGGCCTATCCTTGTATGCTATAAAGCTAGAACTCCTTTTATTAGTGTCATGCGTTAAGATTTAATATTTATACAACTACTATAGTCATCTCATTAAGTTTAAAAAATAAAATTAGAATATGGATATTCATGAGGGTGTGATCTTATTTAATATAAACAATCACTATCAAACTGCTTAGCCATCATTTTTCCAAAGGTTAATATAATATGCTTTATTCACTGGATGTTACACTTGATAATTTTTTTAAAAGACTTACTGATTTATTAGGGAGAGAGCGAGAGAGAGAGAGAGAGAGTGAGCACACGTGGGGAGGGCAGAGGGAGAGAGATTCTCAGGCAGACCGTGCGAGCAAGCAGCCCGGTGCAGGGCTGGACCTCACGACCCTGAGATCACCGCCTGAGCCAAAATCAAGTGTCTGAGGCTTAACTGACCGCACCACCCAGGAGCCTCTACACTTGATAAAATTTAAAGAGTTGCCCCAACAAGTGATAAAAGCTTCACCCCACCAGCATATTTTTCTTTAATTATGTGAAGTGAGATGTAGATAAAGCAAAGCCTAAAACTTCTCTCTTGTTAACTGATTGTAAAAAAGAGTTCATGTGTCAAAAGAATCATATACTGTTATTACTAGAAGAATCATTAGACGCAGTCTTTTCACAAGCTTTATTTATTTGTAAGCCATTTATTATATATTCTTGTTATATTTCATGTTTGCCATGTAATAAGTTTTTGAAATAAATTTTTTTGAATTTAACAAATAATTCTTGCTCTTTATATTTCATTAAATGATTGGGGGGAACTAAGCTTAGATCATCCATGGAACTGGGCTAATTTAATTATTCAATTGGGAAATGCAAATTAAAAATGCATTGAGATATCATCACTCATTCTGGTAGGGTGACCAATGAAAAAGACTGTAAATATATGATTTTGGTGAGAATGAGGAGCAACTAGAACTTTCTTACTTTTTTTTTTTTTAATTCTCATCCTTTTTTTTTAAGATTTTATTTTTATTTATTTATTTGACAGAGATCACAAGTAAACAGAGAGGCAGGCAGAGAGAGAGAGAGAGAGAGGAGGAGGCAGGCGCCTTGCTGAGCAGACAGCCCAATGTGGGGCTCGATCCCAGGACCCCGGGATCATGACCTGAGCTAAAGGCAGAGGCTTTAACCCACTGAGCCACCCAGGCGCCCCAGAGCTTTCTTACTTTTGGTGGGAATGTAAAAATGGTACAATTCCTTTGCAAAACAGTTTGGCAGTTTCTCGTAGTGTTAAAATAGAGCTATTCTATGATTTAGCATTTCCGTGGATGTTCATCCAGATTTTTGAAAACATGTCCACAAAAATATTTTAGAAGAATGTGTGTAACAGTTTGATTTATAACTAAGAATTGAAAACAATGCAAGTGTTCCTTAATAAGCAAGTAGGTAGATAGATACCTGTATAGTCTATTCATTAGCTGGAACACGAATCAGCAATAAAACAAGTGGTACATATAACATCTGAGAAACTCCAAAAGAAGCCAGGAAGAAAAGAATATATATATATATATGTGTGTGTGTGTGTGTGTGTGTGTGTGTATATACATATGATATGGCTCATTTTTATGGATACAAGGACAGGCGAAACCGATTTATGGTGATGGAATTCTAGCAATGATTACCCATAAGAAATGTGATTTAACTGTAAGACATGGGAGCACTTTCTGGGATGACAGAAATAGTCTATATTTTTAACGGTATGGTGCTTATATAGGTATATACACTTACAAAAGACATCTGATTGTACAAATGTGATCTGTATGTTTTATTGTTTATAAAAAGTGTGAGGGCTTGTAGGGTCCAATATTCTGGACTTGAATCCGGTTTCCCCACTCACAAATTGAGACCTCACAGAATTGAAGCTGCATAGGTATTGTGGGGGTAATAGTAATCCCTACCTCATAGATTCATTTTGAGAATCAAGCGAGGTAATATATGCAAAATATTTTCTGGGGAGCTAAATGCTGTTTTTTAAAAAAGATGTTTATCACGAAAGATATGTCTTATCATAAGAGAATATAGTTTTTTAAAGTTATTATTGTAAACAAATGGTCATATTGAAGTCAAGCGTTATTAATGATAAATCAGTCTTGCTACCACCAAAGCAATTCTCTGTAATGCACACGTTGATTGTTTGAGGGTAACATATTGGCTTAGTAGGACACACAATCCATAAATAAGAAGGTAGAGAAAATAGCCAGAGTTTACAAATGTGTCTTATTATTGTAAAACAACTGCTAACACATTACCTAAAGTTTTGAAGTTAGAGATTTTTTAAAAATTGGCAGTCGCACAATCTGTTATAACCACATTTACTGTGTTTTAATATTATATGTGATCCCAACAACCAATGCAACTAATTTTCTTTATGTCTACTTTTTCATTAGTTTGAATCATTGAGTACACCTAGTTGGTCATCTGGCATTTTCATTTCTGTCGTATTCCTTAATGTAGCTTCTCTTTTACCCTATTTTCTATTTTTTTGTAAGACAGATAGTACTTATTATAATTTTAGGCATATATTTTATATTTTTTAGTTAACTGTGTTAAAGTATATTTATTTTATGACTAAAAGCCTTCCTTAAACAAATAGTGAACTATAAAAGTGACAATGTCTTAATTAAATCCACGTCATTCATAAAAGAGACTCCTAACTAGAGAGAACAAACTGAGGGTTGCTGGCAGGGAGGTGGGCGAGGACTGGGCTAGATGGGTGATGGGGATGAAGGAGGGCAGTTGTGATGAAAGCCGGGCGTCGTATGTAAGTGACGAGTCACTAATTCCACTCCTGAAACCAATATTATACTACATGCTAACTAACTAGAATTTAAATAAAAACATGAAACGTTAAGACAATCTGTTATTAAAAGCATATTTTCAATTTAGATTGTCCATAGCATATCACAAAACCTTAGGATTTGCAGTAAATTAAAGAATGGCATTTACAGGATTTAATATTACTACCAGTTTTTATGTCATCTGGAAATCTTATAATTAAATATGACATATTTGTGGTGCATTAAATCAACTAATGCCTTTACTAATCTTTTAAAATAAAATGTTTAAATAAATTTTTATTTAGTGTTTACATTGTGCAAGACACTGATACCAGGTAAGATATGAATGAGGAAGGAATGAGCTGGTGGCCTTAGGACGTATGGGGCAGTTTCTGATTGATCCACCGGAAACTGTGAGTTGTTTATGAGGCCAAATTCAGATGACAGATGTATGTTGTTCAATGCAGGCACTGTGTTTTACAATAATATCACTTACAATTGGGAGCTTTTATATAAAATCCAGATTTCTGACCTCATCTCCCATATTTAAAATCTGACAACTCTGGGTTGGAATTGTTCATTTCCACCACTAACTGGAACTGAGTATTCCGCATCCAGAGGGCAAACCTCAGGTTTTCCACGACACCACCCTCTCAGCCTCGTTCTAATTGCCTGCCAGGTTTAACCCGCCCTCCTCGTCAGGAAGAGGAAACAAGGAGCCAAGCGGCAGGAGAACTGCGGCTGGCACGGCTCTCTGTTAACGGGCCGCAAACACGTGGGGCTAGAAGGAAAACGTGCTAGGGAAAAATGCTGTGATAAAGTGGGTGAGGGGGTGGCTGGAATCCTGCTTCCAACTTCAACAGCGACTCATTTAATTGCCAAAACTTTTTTTTTTTAATTTTGTGCGTGAATAGGCATTGAGTTACTAGGTTTGCACAGACAACGTGACCCCTTGACCACGTCTCTACCTGAAGTCGCTGCCCCTTTGAAGTGCCTCGTGTGAATGTTTTTCTTGATTCAAAGAGCAGTCTAACATATCAAATCTTTGATTTTTACAAAGGCTGAAGAAATAACTTTAACAATCGGCCAAGCATTTGACCTGGCATACAGGAAATTTCTAGAATCTGGAGGAAAAGATGTGGAAACAAGAAAACAGATTGCAGGACTGCAGAAAAGAGTGAGTAAACTAAACTTTTTGTTTCACATTTACGTGATGTAAGTACAGGGAAACTTGCATATCATCAAACAAATCTAGGAGGCCTGCCATTAAATTTCCCCACACTGACTAGAGCTGCTTTCACTATGTTCCTATAATTCTTCATTCCTGATCCCTGCACAGTTTTAACCATTTTATATTGAATTCCCACAAGAACTTAGTGTTCTCATGTGACTTTGCTTCACTTCCTGATGCTTCTCATGGGGATCAGAGCAGCAGAAGCAGCAGATGCTGGGTAAGTGGTTTCCCATGCAGATCAGATTCCTTTGTAATTAAATTACACCCTTTCTCCACTGTCTTCAAAATCATCATAAGCAAGTTTCACTGTCTTGCGGTTTTACTCCAAGATTATGGGTAACAGACTGCACAGTACAACCAGAAAACACAGAGACGAGGTATTAGAAACATGGAATTTGCACACGTATAAAAACATATCTTAAACTTTATAAAATGTCTTTCCAGTGTTCTAGACTTTCCTGATATTTCCCAACCTTTATCAAATAATTTTCTCCCCTGTGCACAAGAGTACATTAAAATTTTGAATAATATGAAATCCTATTCATGAATGTAGCCAATGTGATAGCCAATATTTTCTAAGAATACATTTCTGAAGGTTATTCAAAAATTATTGCTTTTTAGATTCAAGACTTAGAAACCGAAAATGTGGAACTTAAAAACAAAGTACAAGATTTGGAAAGCCAGTTAAGAACAACCCAAGTATCAACATCTCCAGTAAGTTTATGGACTCTGGGCATGTTCTTCTTAGAAACGAGATTTCGTGGTGATACAACATCTCTGGGTCATCTGTGATGTTCCATCAGCTCTGTGATGTCTGTAATACTCTGGGATCAGTTACTTAAAACATGGGTCAAGATGAAAGATGCTAATCACAAAATTAAAATTACCTACGTGGCTCAGACAAGAGTTGCTCTTCCAGGTTGCTCTTTCCCTTGTGTTTTGTAGAAGAAGCCATCCCCCAGTTTGTTCTTCTCCTCTTTGTGACATAGTCTTTCTCACATCCTTACTGGTTACTATTTACTGAGCTTAGATTCCTGACCTAAGCCAACACCCCTGGAGCACTGACCTTCATTATAGACACTGGACAGCTAATAGGACCGACTTTGCCGACATTGCATGGCAGGGGTTTCCACTGGGAGTGACACAGTTGAATTTCAGACCCTAAAATGAGTGGTGGTCTCTGCAGACAGCTCTCAAATATTTAGTTACATTATTTGCTTTTGGTTTATCATAGATTCAAAGTCCTTTTGGCAATACCATGTATGATACCATTCTTTCATGATTCTGGCTAAGAGGATCTTTTGGAAGAGGAAGATGGGATTTAAAACAGTATTTTTTCCTGGCAAAATATATTTAGAAAACTTTTTTTCTTCTTGAATCATCTTTGCTACTGATATTCTCCAATAAACAATATCTTTTATTTTGCATTTTAAAAATATTTACTATACAACTTACAGCATGATGCCATGATGCTATAAACTAAAACACAATTACAACATTTGCAAATGTTTAAAAAGAGTTTTTGTTTCTAGTTTTTATTTGCAAGTTCATGTTGGTTCAATTTCTAGACTAATTCAATGAAAATTAGATATCTCCATATAGAGAGAGACGGATGGATATAGATATATAGGTAGATAGATGGCTTGCTATGCAGTGTAAGAAACCAAAGTCAGTCTTGTTAACAGTCCGGTATCTACAGTGAAGGTCAGTACTCTGGGGCGGCTCGGCTTAGTCACGTGTTTATATGTACGTGTGTCTGTCTAGTTCTACACTATTTCAGCAGTTCATGACCATTAACAACGCGCCTGTAAGAAATTGCACTTAGAGTTTCAAATTTGGTATGCCCTGGAAATGGGTCAAAGAACTTCCTTTTCAACTCACCCTTTCCATCTTTCTCACTGAAGCACTTTGCATTTCATTGCTTGACGTATGGTGTGTGATAGTGGTGTCCATACAGCCAAGGTAAGAGAGGTTGGGAGTGAGGTTCTTGTGTTCCCGTGTACCTTTGTTATGGACAGTGAGGCTGGCTTTATTATAATATCTTTCCTGTTTGTTTGTTTGTTTGTTTCTCTTCACTGCCATCACTCTTTGCTTCTCATCAAGATGATGATATTTTTCTTTCCTCTCTGGTCACAAGGAACAGAGCATCAGCTCAAACTCCTTCTTTAAACTTTGGTCCCAAAATGGAGTAAAACCCTTCTGGGTCTTGCTGAAGATCTTACTATAAACCATCCTCTGGGAAAAAACTAGGAATAGAAACATACGTGAAGGGAAGTTGTGTTTTTAAGCAATCTTAATAAAGTGTTATTTCTGGAATTCATGGTATGTGAATAATAGCTTTACTTTAGTCTTTGTGTTTGCAAAGGAATAAGATCCATTACCATTTTGGATGCAAACCCGAAGCTCTGTCTCTAGATGGAGAACTAAGATACCATGTTGGGGGGCAAGGCAGATTTAGAAGAGCAGAATACTCTGGGGCATGTTGATGAATGATGAAACAGTCCTCCCCTCTTTATCTCCTGAGAGCAGGCGTTGCCCTGGGCCGGCACTGGGGCAGCTCAGAAGAAGGTGGGTCAGGTTGGGGCTTATGCAGGTGCACTGGCCATCTGAAACGGCCACCAGGTCAGCTTCAGAAATGGCAAGGGTCAGGAGGAATGAAGAGATGACACTTGCCCCGGTCCCCGTGAGCCTCTGGCTAAGCTAGCCATCCCCGGGCGTGAGCATGACACTTGGCGTGTAAATGAAGCGAAGTCTCTCTGCATGTTCATTATTCAGCAATCTCATTGGTAGAGTCCGTTACATAAAAAAACAATAATTATTCAGATAGGCAGTTACTAAAAAGGATTAGCTGCACAAGTTGTCATTTAATAATTATTATAAACATTGTGTTCGTCTCAGTACTGAATATGTCTCCGTAAAATGCTTCAGAGGCTGTAACTAAAAGGCTCAATTAAAAAAAGAGAAATCATTTTCTCTAAACCACTTTTTTGAACCTAATATATACGTGTAGAAAATTTATTGCTTCATCAATCATTATGCAAATAACTCAAATTATAACTTTCAATTATATTCTTTTGTCATAGTAATACCTTAGTATTTGTTCTTTATTTTAACTCAAAATTTACTTGTGTTATAGTTTTTCAGTTTCTAAAGGCTTATATGATTTCTGAAGTTGATGGTATACTGGATGATGTACATCTTTAAGATAAAAAATAGAAATTACTTGATTTTTTTTTTAAATTACTTGATTTTTAAAGGAAGGAGACTCAACATTTTTAAGTTGCTAAAAAGTATCTGATGTTTTAAAAAGTTTTTGAAGAGATTATGAACAAATGTGTTTGCCTTTCATTTTTGATTTCAGTTATGTAGCTGTGGAATACATTAATATAATATTAAGTGCTCTATTTATTTCACATTTCTTAAAATTGTCCCCCAATTTTCTGATACTAAAAATGAATTGAATCAAATTAAATTATCTACAGTTATTTAGTATGAAATATTGCCATGCTTACGAATATCCACTCTGTTGAAGGTTTGTTAATGATTTAAACTATTAAACTTGAATTTAGAAAGCAGTGAAAATTATAAAAAAATTAAAATATAAATTTAAAGTATAGGTAACTTGTTTAATAGCTTGCAGTGGGTCTATAGTAAAGCAAATTTCTGTTACGTTAGAACCTTTCTTAGGAAATTTGGCCACCAGTGTTACAGGACAGAGCCAGGACACAAAGCACTTCCCAGAGTGCCACCATGTGTAGCGAAGTTAATACGCAGTAGATGCCTGCTGGGCCTGTAACTCTGGCGATGAGACTGCATCGCTTTTCCTTCCTTGTTTGTTTCCTTCGCTGTCAGAGGACTGAAGGACAGAACGCTCCCAAACCGCCCAAGTTCTTAGCCTTTGTTTAAGGGATTAGAGGCATGAATTACGGAAGTACTGCAGTGAATTATGAATCCCATTATGCAAATCAAAGTTACGATATAGGTGGGTTTGGTATGGAAAATTAATTTCGCGTCAGGTTTTCCCCTGAGCTTTCAGGGTGCTGTGGTGAGAGGAAGCCCCAAGACAGATGACTCTTCTCCAGTGACCAGCCCAAGAGGAGTGTGGATCCTACCGGAGGCCGCTTTTTCCGAAGTCACACAGAAGTAACTCTCCTGCCATATAAAACAGTCAGAAACCGTTCTCTACAAACACTTAACACTCATTATGACTTAACGATGACTTAACATAAAAATAAGCACATAAAACAACAGTTTCCTAAAATGTCAGGATTTGCTGGTCAAACACAATGTAGTCCACATCAAGCGTTAGTCAAAGTAAAAGAAAAGATTTAAAGATTAGCTTTGAAATAGTCTCTTTGGGAAGAGGGAGAGAAGAAAACAAAAGCAGGAATGGAATTGTGGAGGGATTGTGAAATAAAAAGTAATGTAGAAAATGAAAATAATTCAAAATCACTGGTTTGGATGCTGTTCTTATCAGTGTGTGATGAAATAGCAGATAAAGTCAATTATGGGAAGCATCAGAAAAATAAGAAACATTTTTGATAAGATAACTAAAAGATCGCAAGCTGTTTTTCCTAGTGAGAGGTCCAAAGTCCTAGTTGAATTTCTGTAGCACAGAACAATGGTTCAGAGGAATCAGATCTTCTCACAAGAAATTACTGTTTTAGAGATGTTGATCTTTTATTCTATATAAAGTCAAAAATGACAAATATGGGGCTCTGTCGAGTAGAATGGTCCAGACTGAGAATCTCTGAATGAGGTTGAGTCACCACGAGAGAACATAGATACATGTCTCTGCACTCCCCAAAGGCACCCTGTGGAAAGGGGCTTTTTCTTAGACGGCGGCCGGCCATCCGCATTTGTGTTCTATACATCAATGTAAATCGGTCATTCTGATTTGTTTTGAGGATGCAAACTAAGTAATTTTGGTTCAAACTCCTTTTTTTTTTTTTTTTAAGATTTTATGTATTTATTTGACAGAGGAAAGAGCACAAGTAGGGGGAGCAACAGCCAGAGGGAGAGGGAGAAGCAGGCCCCCCGCAGAGCAGGGGAAGCCCCATGTGGAACTCAGTCCCAGGACTCTGGGATCATGACCTGAGGCGAAGGCAGTGGCTTAACCAACTGAGCCACCCAGACACACTTGGTTCAAACTTCTAATGAAATTCTTCAGAAATTCTAAAAAGTCCTTTCAAGGTTTCACTGTGTAAATTGTAGTTTTGTTTTTATTTTTTCTAGTCCTACTAAGTCGTCACTTCTTTTTTGGAATAGTATCTTAGTGACATGTCTTATGTGTTACAATGCATATCAGTTTGATTTTTATTTTCTCACATTTGCCCACTGCATACATTAGATACAGTTGTGATCTATTATATAAAATATAAAATATTTATTGAGAGTCAAATGTAGTCACATGTCTAGGATGTTGGCTTTGAGCAGCCTATGAATTTCAGCTGTTACAGGGAACATTTACCCATAGGTAAATGAATAAATAAATTTAAAAATTCAGATTCGATATATGGTATGAACAAAATAAAATACACCAGAATAGGAGCAAATAGCTGGGGACTAGAGACGGTGATCACGGAAGCCCTTTCTGCGAAGGCAGCATCTGAATTGAGACCTGCGGTTGGTTAATGCAAAGGGCTAGAAACAGTGACAAGACCTTTGTGCCTAGAGCATAGTGACCAATAGCAAAAGGAGTTGGAGATGACATT